AAAGGCTCTCCCTAAGAATTCTTATACTGTACCGCGCTCCAATGTTATCAACCTTTTGTGATTGACCTTTTTTGATTGTGTGAATTTCTTAATATACCACCTATAATCCAATCATTACTTACTTCTATGGTGCTTAAATATACAATTAACATAAATTAATTTATAAATGTGAATTAAAAAATTATATGTGATTATAACAAATATTAAAAAAATTTATGAAAAAATTGGAATGTCAATTCTATGTGAATAAAATTAATTAAAAAAAAAAAAAAAAAATTAATAAAACATTAATAAAAAATGGGAATGTCAATTATTTTCTTCGAATTTGAGATGGTGTTGTTATTAAATTTAGTTTATGTGATAAGTCTGTGTTGGCAGCTTGAACCTCTCCCTCCTGTCTCCTCTCCTCTCTCCTCAGCTCAGCCTTCTCAATTGTGCTTTCTTCACTGGCTGCTTTGTTTATTCCTCCATATACGGAACATGCAGAGAAGGGAAAAGAAACATAGTGTCTTATCCGGGTTATAAGTGATTTATTGCTCTTTGATCTCCCACTCACATTGTGTAAATGTAAATAACGCTTTGCATACAATGTATCCAGATCATGCTTCAGACAGCCTGGCTGATGTGTTTGTTTTCAGTAAATATACTCGCCATTCCTCTGTGGATGCGTGATAACGTCACCGCCCCTCCCCTACGCGTTACGCTACAGGGACTCGTAGCTTCCTCTGGGGGATGTGGATCGAAATCCACATCCCCCAGAGGAAGCTACGAGTCCCTGTAGCGTAACGCGTAGGGGAGGGGCGGTGACGTTATCACGCATCCACAGAGGAATGGCGAGTATATTTACTGAAAACAAACACATCAGCCAGGCTGTCTGAAGCATGATCTGGATACATTGTATGCAAAGCGTTATTTACATTTACACAATGTGAGTGGGAGATCAAAGAGCAATAAATCACTTATATCCCGGATAAGACACTATGTTTCTTTTCCCTTCTCTGCATGTTCCGTATATGGAGGAATAAACAAAGCAGCCAGTGAAGAAAGCACAATTGAGAAGGCTGAGCTGAGGAGAGAGGAGACAGGAGGGAGAGGTTCAAGCTGCCAACACAGACTTATCACATAAACTAAATTTAATAACAACACCATCTCAAATTCGAAGAAAATAATTGACATTCCCATTTTTTATTAATGTTTTATTAATTTTTTTTTTTTTTTTTTTTAATTTTATTCACATAGAATTGACATTCCAATTTTTTCATTAATTTTTTTAATATTTGTTATAATCACATATAATTTTTTAATTCACATTTATAAATTAATTTATGTTAATTGTATATTTAAGCACCATAGAAGTAAGTAATGATTGGATTATAGGTGGTATATTAAGAAATTCACACAATCAAAAAGGGTCAATCACAAAAGGTTGATAACATTGGAGCGCGGTACAGTATAAGAATTCATAGTTTATATTTATACACCTAGAGAGGGTGTAATTAGTGCCTAGCGATCTAATATTTAATAAATATTCACTTAAGCACACAATTAACACTAATAATAGAGTAAGTTAACTCCTGGTGGCTCACAAAAAACTATTTTATTAAAAAGGCTCTCCCTAAGCTATCTAGGTTCTAATGCCTTTGTGGTAGGGATGGTGCTACACTGGTCTGGCCAGGCTGAGAGAAGCCCATGGTGTACGTGCTCTTGGAGTGGCAGTCCTGGGGTGCTGTAAATTCTCACGGTGGGGAAGCTCACTATGAGTTTTTTGGCACCAATGTCACTGCATCATTGCACACTTTTCTCACCTGTCTTCAGGGCCAGGCCTTTTGTTTAGGACTGGACAGATTTTTTTTTTATTCTGGCTGAAAGACCCGCCATTGTCTAGCACATTGGCACTTTGAAGCACTTATCTGCTTCCCCCTTCCCTTTTTTTTCTTTTTGTACTTTTTGCACTGCACATATACACTATACTCACACCTGATTAGTAGGGTGTAGGTCTTTGGTCTTGCCCTGAACATCTTGAGGGGGAGGGCAAGTGGCTTTTTGGTCAAGTTCTCCCCCTCCCATGGGGTCTCTCTTTGGGGGAACCCCACCTAGTACTTGGGTTGGCTCTGCCTTAGAAGGCCTCCTGGGGAAAGGGGTCTGCTTGGTTTTCAGTCAGGTGGACCACGAGTACCCCAGTCCCAGTCAGGAGCCTTGCACCGCGTGGGATCAGGACCAGGGTCTGTTCTTTGCAGGAGGACTATGTGTTCACCCTGTGCACTTTTGTGTTCACTATTGTGTGCTCACTTTTTTATGCATCTGGTGTTAGGTTTTGTGAGTGTGTTTCAGTACACCATGGAACGTCCAAAAAACCCAGGAATGTGAAGACATACCAGGCTAGGTGCACATTGATCTTTCAGGCTTAGCTCTGCAGAAGGTTGTTGTTGGATAGATTAATAAATCTTGGGAGCATGAATCATGGATGTTATTTGGCTATAAGGCTGTATTATCTTGATGGTCAGCCAAACTGAAAGGTTGTAGGCAGCATGTATGGGATAGATTTTTTTTTTGTTTTTTATGATGAAATACTCTTAGCCCCGGTTCACATATATGCGGCTGTGCTGGCCACGTTTTGCGCGGGCACAAGAGCCCATTCTTTTTAATGGACTCCCGTGCCCCGGGAAGCTAAGGGAAGAAGTCCCTGCACTTCTTCTGAAAACGCAGCCCGCATGGGAACCTCTGTTCCCAGTACAGTTGCGTTTTCCACTGCGGGTGTCCTGCCATTAAATCTAATGGCACCCGCCTGCGGGTCCGTATTCCTCTGTGCGGATGGTGTGGCTGCTAGATTTTCATGTGGATCTGTAGCAGCACCAACCTCATAAATGTGAACCTAGCCTAAAGCTAGGTACATATCTGTTCAGGTGGTCACCACCACTGTAGGTCTACACCTGTTCCCACAGCTGCAACCACTCACACAGAAAAAAACGAGCTGGACAATCCTAATGGAACACTGCGCACACTGGAAATTGCTCCAACACTGGGAACTGCACTGCACTTGTGGTTCCCCTGCGGGCTGCGATTTCTAAAGTACTGCAAATGCAGCATTTTCCCTGCATTTCGGGAGGAATGAATGGGCTACCGTGCCTGCTCAAAACATTAGCCTTAAACCAGGGATAACCAGGTTTTCTTTTTTGTTTATTTGCTTTGAGGCTAGGTTCACACTTGTGCAATGTGGTACATTGCATGTGATTCACACAGGAACCGCACCGCATTCCTGTGCAAATCACATGTGAATTGTGTGTGGTACGATTAGAGCCACACATTATGTATGGCTCAAATCACGCCGCATCCGCACCAAAAAGGTGCAGGGTCCGCACTAGAATCAGATCTCATGGGTATTCACACTATGCGATCCGATTCTGCATATCACACTGTGTTTTGCGGACTGATTTCGGGGTGTTGTTAACATACACACCCACAGCGGTTCGCATGAACGGGGTGCGATTCTGATGCGGTGTGGAATTCGCACAGAAAACGCTGAGAATTCCGGACCACTTCAGTGTGAGCCCACCCAATCCAGATTCACAGAAAAAAATTTTCTGTTTCTTCTAAATAGACCAAAAGGAATATTGGTCAGCTGTGGCTATTGCTATCCATAGGTTTAAAGAGGTTCTTTGTTGATATGATTCTAATAATTCTATCCTTTTATTTTTGTGTGTGTATTCGATGTGTGTGTAAAACCAGCTGAAAGCAATGGTCTCTCTCGCAGCTAATATATATTTTCTTTCTTTCATCATATCTTCTGATTTTTACAATTTTTGTGTTTTTTTTTTTTTTTTTTTTTTCCAGTTCAACTGCTCAACATCGTTAAGGACCAATTGACATCGTGGAAGACTGTTTAGATCTTTCTCCTGCAAATTTTACCAGCCTGTCGGTTACAAGAGAAATGGTAAAAAAAAACAAACAAAAGTTTTCCCTTTTTAGTTAGTTATTCCTAGGGGGTCATTTAAGTGTAGTTTATTGTTATCAAATGTCTGGAAAGTTTATAATCGAGCCCCTTAAGAATGATATTTGGCTGCTCATTTGGATGACTGCTGTTTTTTTTTTTTGCTGCCTAGTTATGGGACCGTAAAATGCTTGGAAACAACGTGACAGGAATATTTGTCATGCTTAATGTCAGCATTCAGTAATGTCGCCAGCATTGTAAAATGTATTTAAACCTGAACTTCAGGTAAATGGCAAAAAAAACACAGTCGCAACACATATATGTAAAATATTTTACTTTTCCAAAGAAATTGTAATGCTTTTTATCCACTTGAAGACCCCCTAATGTACATATACATTACGGGTTTCAAATGGTATTGCGGGATAATGCCTGCAGCTGCAGATATCATCGTGGTATTGTTTTTTTTTTTTTCAAGACGGCTTTTTTTGTAAAAGCCATCTGGTCGGCTGATTAGCCACTGGGTTGCTTTTACAGGTGGTGGGAGGGGTCGCCCCTGCTGCCTTCCGATGCCTCTCCTGCATCTCTTTCCCACCGGAGATCACGGAAACTGAAGGTGTCGGTTCCCGCCGGCTTAACGATAGAGCCCTTGGAGGACTGGAAGGGCTATGATGAACTCTATGGTATAGGAAACCAGAAGCAATAACTACTACTTTCACTTCTGTTTTACCCTGAAGTGAACTGCGCCATTTTTAAATTTTAAAAGCATTTGATCACACGATCTTAGTATGATCAGATGATTTTAGGGCAGAGATGAGGTCTAGGGTCTAACAGACCCCAGATCTCTCCATAAGGAGTACCTGCCATTGCCTATTGCTGTGATGTTTACATTCCTTATGACAGCAATAAAAGTGATTTAAAAATACAATTTTAAAGAAAGTGTAAAACAGAAAATTGAGAGAAAAAAATCATGAAAGTGTATTTTTTCACAAAAATTGTGTTCGAAAAACCCACTGCAGTTTTGGAAAGATTGAGTTTAAGGTAGTGGTGTGACATCCATGCTGATATATATGTATGTGTGTGTGATGCATCTTTAGTGTGGGTACCTGGCTGTGACAGCCGGGTGCCCACTGCGCATGTGCGAGAAGCACTGTGCTTTGTGAATGGTCCGGCAGTCTTCTGGGACCTTTCACGTGTCCCAGAAGACGGGAGGGAGGACAACTCCACGGAAGTGGGAGTGGGAGCGGTACCTGTCAAATTCGGGTGCCCACTCCTCCTACCTCCCCAAAGGTCCGCAGTCTCTGGTCATCTCCTGTACTGTCTGCAGTCATCCTGGTCATCTCCTGTACTGTGTCCGCAGTCTCTGGTCATCCCCTGTACTGTGTCCGCAGTCTCTGGTCATCCCCTGTACTGTGTCCGCAGTCTCTGGTCATCCCCTGTACTGTGTCCGCATCCCCTGTCTCTCTGGTCATCCCCTGTACTGTGTCCGCAGTCTCTGGTCATCCCCTGTACTGTGTCCGCAGTCTCTGGTCATCCCCTGTACTGTGTCCGCAGTCTCTGGTCATCCCCTGTACTGTGTCCGCAGTCTCTGGTGTCATCCCCTCTGTACTGTGTCTCCGCAGTCTCTGGTCATCCCCCTGTACTGTGTCCGCAGTCTCTGGTCATCCCCTGTACTGTGTCCGCAGTCTCTGGTCATCCCCTGTACTGTGTCTGCAGTGTCTGTATTTCATTTCCTGTACTAAATTTGCAGTCCATTGGTTCAGAATATTTTTTTTTTTTCTTGTTTAGCTGCATTTGCATACTGCGTTTATGAGCTTTTGCATTTAGAAGCGTATTTTTAAAGATAACCTCAGTCACTGTGTCGCATAGACCTTCCAAAATGCCCAGAATGCACTGAAAAACAGTAAAAAATGAACTATTTCAGACATCTTGAGAGAAATAGAGACTGCAGAAGCAGTGAGAGCAGTATTTGTTGAGATTAGCTGTCTTTTTTTTTTTTTTTTTTTTTTTGTGGTGTTTGAATGTTTTATAGCTCATTTCTGTGCAGAAATTATTGCATCTGTGTCTAACATATTTTCTTTCATGCGAAACCTCAAAGTATGGTGTACCAGGTCCATTTGGGTACCGGGGAAAATGCTTTGCATGCATTTTTCATGATGAAAAAAGGCTCGGGACAGCATCTGGAAATGGAAGAGTTAAAAAAAAAAAAAATTTGCAAACGCTTATAAAAGCGATTAGCCACGTTTTCAAGCGTTTGGCATTCAAAAAACGACTGTAAACTCAACTGCCTGTAAACAACGATGTGTACATGGACACATAGGAAAACATTAGGGAGAGTTCAGGGGCTGCTGAGAAAAACGTTGAACAGCTCCTAAATGGGTTTATCAGCTGCAGTGTACATGAGCCCTTAAACATATAATAATTTTAACATTGTGCTGTTTGTCTCCTCCTCCCCGCCTGTCTCCAGCACCGCCCCCGGGGACTAGCAGGGAGGGGAGAGACCTTGCAGTGTAATGAGCACTGACTGAATGCTCCTCAGGAAAGGCGAGTGTCAGTCTTATCCTTTATCGCTTTTCACCGCCAGAACCCTTTTTGCATTTTTTTTGCACACGTTTAAAAAATAATTTTAGGCCTGAAGATTACATAAACCCCCAAAACATTTTCTGAAAGCAGAGATCCTAGAGAACAAAAGAGTGGTAGTTCTTTATTACCGTAAAATTTCAGTAAAAAATGCACTTCGTTTTAGGGCACAAAAAGCAATAAATAACCCCCCCCCCCCCCCCTTTTTTTTTTTTTTTTTTTTTTTTTTTTTTTTTTTGTAAACTATAAAAGATGAGGTTGAACCGAGTAAATAGTTAACTAACATGTCAAATCTTGAATTTGCGTGCCCTTTTGAAATGGCGGCACACTTTAGTACCCTATATTTTCTATAGGTGACGCTTTTAAAGCCCCTTATAGGTCATCAGTTTAGTGCTACGGAGGAGGTCTGGTGCTAAAATTATTACTCTTTCTGACATGCATGGCGATATGTAACGTGTATCACAATCAACGTTTTAATGTATAGGTGCCCTGGCATGTGCTTTTAAATTTGTACGTGTCTATATGTGGAGGGGCCTCAAATCTTTTATTGGGGGGCATGTGCTTTTGGTGTAACTTTAAATTTTGCACAATTAAAAAAAAAAAGAATATTAACTTTTTTTTGTTTTTTTCATCAGATAGCAGACAAAAAGTCCCCTATGTGATGATTTTTTGGTGACAGGTTCTTTTTATTGAAACATCCAGGGTCTAAAAGACCTTGGATGTCCCCCCTGTACTCCACTGGATGTAATGCAGCACCAAATTACACTTTTTCCCGGCCTCGATGGACGGGAAATCTTTCAACAGGGACCCGGAAGTGGCGTTATGACAGGACAAGAAGGGGAGGGGAGCAAGTGTCCACTCACCTCCCTCCCCACTACCAACTAGCACTTCCTGAACAAGTCGCGGGCCCACAGATGGGCAAGCAGAGCCCGGGACACAGCAGGCAGGATGGCGGTTTCTGGATGGGGGTGGGTGGCGAAGGAGGGCTTGGCTGTGTGGAAGCAATCGGCGTCAGCTCTGCCATTCGAATACTTCCACCCAGGGGCGGACTGACAACTCATGGGGCCCCCGGGCAATAGGGGATCATGGGGCTCCTGTGTCATCGCCCACACCCAAAAAAGCCTATGAAAAAGCCAATGAAAGGTACCAGGGGCATCTCATGGGGCCCCCTACTGACCCCGGGCCCTCGGGCAGTGCCCGAGTGCTCGAATGGTAAGTCCGCCCCTGCTTCCACCTGACAGGTGAGCCCTGCTGCGAGCAAGGGTAAAAAAACTACCTGCCTAGTGCCCGGAACTACATGTCCCGAGCGTCGAGCGATATAAATTGAACATCCCTGTAAAGGATCATGAGGAAGGAATTGCAGAGCACTAGTGCAATAGCAGCCGTACACTATTAGAATTTTACTATTAGAATTTTGACATTTACTCAGTGGGCTCAGATTCCATTTGACAAAAGTTGATTGTTTAATCAATGTTTGTCGAAGGGGTCTTCTGGAAGATTTTCATCCATTCAGCTGCTGTTCTGGTGTTTTGACAGCCGGCAGAACCAACTGTAAAACAATACATTGTGAGATTCGTCCTTCCACGCTCTATAGTGTGGATTTAAGAATCTTAGTTTTTGTATGTCAGTATATGGCAATCTTTAGTCTGTATTTTTACCCAGAAACCCACTGAAGCTGGTGGCAAAGGAGTTTATAAAATAAAGGACGTTGATTAAAGGTTTGGGGCTTTGCAGTTTCCAAAGTTCCTAGATAGCAATGGTATTGACTCAGCAATAGTACTAGCAATAGTAGCTCACTAATTTTAAAGTGCTAATTTAAGCCTCTGTTTTTAAAATTATAGTGTAATGATGCCATTACACAGCGTGGAAGTTACTATATTTATTTTGGCAGACCGCAGGATGACAGATGAATGCACACACTGCTATAAAACATTAGCTTTCCTTCAACATAATTAATATGGAGTTCTTTTAATTATAGAGTAATTCATGTAATGTTAACTAAAGGATTAATATCATTTTATTACACAAAGTCTAGATGGGTAAAAAAAAATACCAGAGTTTAATTTAGCGTTAATATATTTTATTAGATAAACCTGAAAGTTTGTTATTTTACCGCTATCCTGGACTCTTTCAAGCAAGATTTCCCTTTTACTTTCACTTCTGGGGCCAACCTTTTACCAGAAAGGAAGAGTTGGGGGGGAAAAAGGGAAATACACAGCGATAAAACGCTGACAGAGGTTTACACGTTACCAACTTGACCACTTCCTGTCCGGACACTTTTACCCCCTTCCTGCCCAGGTCAATTTTCAGCTTTCAGTGCTATCACACTTTGAATGACAATTGCGCGGTCATGCAACACTGTACCCATATGAATTTTTTTGCCTTTTTTTGAGACAGATAAAGCTTTATTTTGGTGGTATTTATTCACCACTAGGATTTTTATTTTTTTGCTATGTAAATGAAAAAGTCCAAAAATTTTGAAAAAAAGTGTTTCTTATAAAAATTTTGCAAATCGTATTTCATCATAAATCTTGGCCAAAATTTATTCCGTTATCTTTTTAGTAAAAAAAAAATAACCCACAATTAGTTTATAACCAATAATTATAATTTTTAAACATTTTTTATACTTTTTTTTTTTTTTTAATTTTTTTATATTTGTTTTTGTTTTTTTTTTTTTTTTTTTTTTTTTTTTACATACGGTCACCCTAGCAGTACAGTGTCACCATGACACTGTACTGCTTGTGGGGGATGATGAAGATATATATATATTTTTTTTTTACACTGATTGCTTTTACACCCATAAAGGCTGTAAAAGCAATAATTTCTCCTCTCTAGCTGCATTCTTGCAGCCATTGAGAACTACTGTGTGAGCTGTGATTGGTCACAGCTTGTCACATGGTACAAGGCTGTTGTGAATAGCCTTGTACCATGTGACCTCTGTGACAGGGGTGGACTGACAACTCATGGGGCCCCCGGGCAATAGGGGATCATGGGGCCCCTGTGTCCTTGCCCAAACTCAAAAAAGCCTATGAAAAAGGTACCAGGGGCATCTCATGGGGCCCCCTACTGACCCTGGGCCCTCGGGCAGTGCCCGAGTTTCCAAATGGTCAGTCCGCCCCCCCTGCTCTGTGATCATTCACAGATTTCACACGTAGTAAGCAATGATGTCAGAAGTGACACCTTGCTTAATACTTTGCATGTGATCACTGATTGGCCAATCAGTGATCACATGATCGGGATCTCGCACAGAGGTCCCATCCAACGTTCGGTGTTCCACTGTGTCCGGAGGACACAGCAGGCACCAGATCGCGGTGCTGCGTGCTCCCTGGGAGCGCGCACAAGCAGGGTGCAGGGAGGCCGTTTATAGACGGCCACCCGATCCTGCACTGCCACCGTCCAGCTATTTATATACATGGGCCGGACGGGAGGTGGTTAAAAGCTAAGTTCACATTATAAAAAATCTAAAATAAATGCACATATTTTTGTGGGAAAACAATATTCGTTTATTTTATTTTCCACAGAAGCCTGGTAAGCATTGCACCCAAAATCAAACTGTTTTGTCTTCCATTTGTATGGAATGGGTTTTACAAGGTGAGGGTTTACCTTCGTGTACAGTATGTCTACTTTTGTAAATAAAATGTGTTTTGTAATTTATAGAATTTATAGTGTTTTTGAAGTATAGAAGCTTTTCATGTATGATAAGGTGCTGACAATGTAAATAGGCTCATTCTAACAACAATAAATACACGCATGTTTGATATTTCTGTGATCGGGACAAAACATACAAATGTTTTTCATCTGTATCTAAGCAGCAAAAATAACTCTGCAAAACTTTGTTACAATAGGTTTTTATTGTGTATCACAGAAACTGAACAAGGCACTTTGCCACACAGGATACATTTCCTTCCATAAGTATGGCAGGCTATAGTATTAGGGTACACAGGACGCAACAATAACGTGTAAAGTTCACACAGA